GCATGCTCGTATTTGAACAAGCCCTCGTTTTCAATGTTTTGAGCAACATATCTGATGGAACTACTGTAGAAATGCAGGTACAATATGATTTTTGTGGCATAGTTAATTACCTCTTTTTTTAAGGAAAAAATTTATATAAAGTTGCAACTTTAAAATATAAAGTAAACGTGTACCCCAAAAATCTATTGGAAAAAGGTTGTTTTAGTGCTGGCAAGCTCTCTAATCAATCATCTCGACGTGGAGATGGATGAATATGAAAAAAAAAAAAAAAAAGATTTGGAGTCCAAAAAATAGTGTATTTTGCAACATAATTTCAAGACCTTCCATTTTTCAGATTTTCATGTTTTTAAAGATCAAAATTTTAAAATTAGAGATAAAAATAGATTCTTACATTATCCAAAGAAATTTTGACAGCATCATACAATTTAGAGGTGTGCCTTACTTTTGATTATTTAAGGTTGTGGAGACTTTTTTTTTTGAAAGCCAAAGTCTTACTTAACGCAAAAATAAACTCAAAAGCTTCAGTATCCGATAATCTAAACCTAGGTTTTAGGAGGTATGTGGTGTTTGGATTGGACATAACCTAGATTTTTATATTGCCTTTGTTTAGATCCACGAGTTAAAAAAACCTGGGAGTTAATTTTTCGATCTAAATTTTGAGACTTTTGTGCATTACTCGAAATTGGTGGTTTTCAAACTGCAAACCAAAACAACAAAATCTACCACAAAGACTTCAATTGGAGAATGAGTTCAGGGCCATGATCTAATCCTTCATCCATTTTTTTTTTTAATAGGTGCATTGGCAACAATTAGCTAACATCACAAATAAACATACAAGAAGGGTGCTATTGGCACCCATAATTTCATTATTCCCACGTAGGTTATGGGTGGGAACATCAAAATCAACGTCTTTTGAACATTCAAGCCATGTTTGTGTCAACAAAAAGGAATAATAGAAGGAAAAAATTTATGTAATGTTGCGACCTTAAAATGTAGAAGTAAGGTGCATCTCAAAAATCCATCGCATAAGGCTTTTTGACATTAGAAAACCTTCTAATTGATCGTCTCCATCTCGTGTTATATGAAAATTATATATATATATATATATATATATAGAGAGAGAGGGAGAGAGAGAAAAGATGGGATTAACCCACTAGCTCTATGAGCCCAAGGGTTCAGATTGAATCTGGGCCAATCTAACGATCACTGATGTCCAGTAGTGCTTGAATTTTTTTTTTTTTCTACAGATTCAAATCACTTGAAATTTTAGAGATGGGTTTTTCTACATTGGAGATTGAAGACATGGAATGTGAAGTGTTTGTGCCATTGAAGTATAGTTACAGCGAATTACAAGATGAAAGCATTAGGCAATGTTTCTTGTATTGCTCACTATACACCGAGGACTATCAAATTGAAAAGAATAATTTGGCTGAGTGTTGGATGTGTGAGGGGCTCCTAAGCAGAGTGGATAATCTCAAGGATGCTAGAAACAAAGGCCACGGTCTAATTGACTCATGGATGATAGAGGAAGTAGCTGGAGATGTATCTCGTGTGAAGCTCCACGATGTGATCCGAGATGTTGCCATAGCGTATCGGCTCCACAAGAGAGGGCAGGGGTTTCATCGTGGAAGCAGGATTGGGACTAAAGGAATCACGTAGGGTTGAAGAATGGGGAGAGGTCCAATGCATATCGCTGATGGGTAATGAAATGGAGAGACTTCCAAATCACCCAGTGTGTCGAGCTCTCACGACATTGATACTCAGAGAAAATAAAAAGTTGAATAACATTCCGGAGGGCTTCTTTGAATGTATGGACGCCCCCCTAAAGGTGTTCGATCGATGCCACAATCGTTATTCAACTTGAAGAATCTCCATTACCTCTCTCTGCACGCTTGTGCCAACCAACCTAGTTAACCTTCCTCCTGTAGGAGGACAGAGAGCAACTCCAAGTGCTGGATTTCGGAATCAAAAGATTGCCAGAGAGGATGGGAGAAGTAACCAACTTAAAGCTTCGAAACCTAGGATGGACTCCTGATCTTGAATCCATAAAACATGGGGTTATATCAAAGCTATCATCTCTGGAGGAGTTGGACGTCATGTACAGCGGATACAGGACAAAAATGTAGTAGCACAGAAGGATGTTGGGAGGAATTTGAAGAGCTGGAGCGCTTAAGGATAAGCAGAAATGGGAACCGCCTATTTTTCAACAAAAAAAAAAAAAACAATGGGATTGAAAGATATTTGATAAGATACAAGGAGTAGGGGTACAAGGGTGCCAAGGTGGTTTGAGTAGTCTTGAGCAAAGACTACCGCCCAGCCCATGAAAAGGTTGAATTTTCTGAATATTGAATGAAAGATGTTATGAATTGGATTTTGTTGCCCTCGATGTTGTTGTTCCCAGCTTGAATGCTTTGGCGCTATGGGATTTTCCAGTTGTGAGGAGAATTTTGGAAGGGAGATGGAGACCATCATCTTCTCAATCTCAAAGTTAAGGAAGTGCAGAGAAGGACGCTCGCTCTTGGTCTCCGAGAAGCACAAATGCTAAGAGAAAAAGAATGGTGGGAGGGATTGGAGTTGGAAGATGAGCCTACCAACTCTGAACTCCGTTTTTTTTTGGTGAAGAAGAAGAATATAGGTAAGTGAGAATGTGAGGGGTGGTTCCATTAGCAGCTCATGAGGTTTCGTTCACCCGTGTGCTAACTTCCAACCCTATAACTTGTTATCCATCTCTCTCTCTCTCTCTCTCTCTCGCCCAAGAGTTTACCCATGAGGCGATCTTCATGCCTATTCTCTCTCTCTCTCTCTTTGATTCTTGGCCCATTGTGGAGAAAACACCTTGTCAGCAATCATGCAACGTCTACCTCTCTCTAACTTGCGAAATGCTCAGAATATGGCCTTCATCCATGACGTGAGCTTCCAAGGCTGTAAGCTCTCTCTCTCGTAAAATTAATGGCGAAAGCCAGTGTATGAAACATTGTATTAGTGGGGCTGGTCGCCGCCCATTGATCTCGTATTGAATCCTTGGATCGCGAATCAAGGTTGGTTAGATGAGCAAGTTAGGTCGGGTCCAGCTGGATCGGGACCCAAACCCCAACTATTCCGGTTCAGTTTTTGGGCTCGGACCCGACCCGTTGGATCCAAAATTGGACTCATTTCTGTACCCCAACTATTCCGGTCCAGTTTTGGACTCGGACCTGATCCGTTGGATCCAAAAATTGGACTCATACCCATACCCATTAGGTCCAGGGTCTACCTTGTCAGGTCTTGGTTATGATCGGGTCTAGTGCCACCCTCACTATGAGCTTTTATTTTTGTATAATCACTTGTCACTAGATTTCAATGATTATTCAGTTTAATAGCTAAAGATGACCACAATTCTTAATAGGGTTTAAGGTAAAGTACTTTATCTCCAACAGTTTATGGGTACAACTGGACCCAGACTTGGACCTGAATAGAGCTCGAATCCTTGTTTGGACCCAGACCCGACCGATCAAGTCCAAATATTGGACCCATACCCAGACATGTGTCGGGTATACCTGATGAGTCCCAAGTCGGGTCCAGGTCCATTACCACCCCTAGTTTTCCAAAGAATATCATGGACACGACTTATTGACGTCCAATTGGTGGTTCTCGGTACTCCTTCTGCCCTAATCGATGATCCACTCGTAGCCTTATAAAAATATAAAAATTGCTCAAAATTGCCCAATTTGAGGGAGCTTGTGCTTATGAAGTCATACAAGGGACAAAATGGGAGATGAAGAAGGCATTAAAGGATTTCCGAAGCTCGTTCATCTCACTCTTATGGACTTGGAAGAATTGGTGACATCTGTTTTTCTTTCTATATTAATACATATTGTGAGATGATGAATTAGAGGATTTTTTAGGCGTACTTCTAATTCCACATTTTAAGGTTCCAACCATATGTAAACTTTTTCCTCTTTAAATTTTATATAAGTTGTTTCTTTTCTGAAAATAAATTAACAGGTTGAAACCAATTACATGTATGTAGTGAGTCTATCTCTTGTGTCCTAACATGTAACTCATACCATGACATAATTATTACATATATATCTAACAAAAATGTGATTATCATATTAAGTTAATAATAATAAGCTAATATTGATAATACAATTAGATTATAACTATAAAATTTATACTATGGATTTCACATTAAAAATTGTTTTATTGTAGTTTATTCTAACTCGGTAATATGATAATTCTGGCATTGGGACTACCAATTATAATTTCACTCGTTTTATAAATTATATTAACTAAATGATATTGTCAATTAGTTAAAAATTTTCATTATCAATAATATATTGTGATTGTATAGCGACAATAATATAAACTTAAATATAATTAATAAAAGCTTTGCTATGATTAATCATGTTTATTAATCCGCTCAGTATCTATAATATTATAAGGACACGGTTTCACAAGCCCATATAGAAATGAGTCACTTCTTAAAAATTATTTTTGAGATGAAATTTTGGGCCTAATTTTTAAGGACATGTAATCTCTAATATGGAATTTATGAATATGAATAAATAAGTAAATACTAAAAATTAAAAATAATAATTCTATTAGGAAAACATTTAGACTGCTAGTTCCAATTGTTTCTAGATGATCTGCCTATTTTGCATCCATCTTTAAAATGGATGCTTTATGCTTTATACCTCGTATATGTAGAAATCTGGTTCACAAACAATTTTCCATATTATAATATGCATGAACATTGGCTAATTTTCTTACCAAACAATTCTGCAAAAGAAAAAGGTTTACTCTCTCTCGAAACGGTAATGAAGAGTTTTTTTTGGTGAGCCTTCTTTTAATGCATCAGCATTAGTTTTCAAATGCTTTTAAGATCGAAAACACATCAGAAATCGCTACAAATCCATTTCTGCATCTAAACCACGAATATGGAATTCCACCGATGGATTCGATATGACGACCTTTGACGAATTGAAATGAACAATCCAAAAAAAACAAGATACAAGATGGATCTGCTCAAATTTCATTTCTTTATTGCATATTCATGATTGTGGTGGTCAAGATGATAGACCTCAGAACTTTTGAATCTAAAATTCACATCCAAGGCGGATTTGGAAAGCCGGACATAGTAGAACAAGTGGGTCTGGGGATCAACCAAAATTGGCTGTCTGAGCAAAGCCAAACCATTAAACCCAAAATTTTTACATATTTTGAGGTCCATGACACTAAACAAAGAATAAAAAATGATACATACATACACCTAACCCTATTCTTCCCTCCCCTAAATTTATATAGGAAATAACAATATCCTCAACTCTAATTTAAAGATAAAAAAGCACAACTCCTATGGTTAACAATCCCCACCATTTAGCATATAGCTTAGAGAGAGTTCCAAGTTGGAATCTAGAATTACAGGTGCTATTTGTAACCATTGAAGGAAGATGAGAGAATTCGGAAGAGCCCATCTGGGTTGTCTGCATGTACCTGCCAAAGTAACCAAAGGTTTAGTCCAATAATTAAATAATTTCTACTACAAACTTAAAATTTACCTATAAATATGTGGCTCCTACCACAAATATTTCAGCTGCGCCCCCATATTTATTAGCTAGAGTTAATCAATTCTCCCAAAATCTTTTATCAACTATCGACTTTTTTAAATAAGGGTGTGGTTTGTATAGAGCTGAGGTTCTAAACCATCAACTTAGATCCCACCTTCAAATAGTGTCGAGAAATGTGGTTTCAATACTGAAAATCTTTGTGATGGCCTTAAAATATATTTCCATATTTAATTATAAAATTTAAAACTTTTAAAATAGTGTAGATTGAGTAGATCTATGAAAACTTGAAAATTTTGAAAATTGATGATCCAAAAATGCGTGTTACAAGATGCAATTTTCCCAAAACTTGAAATCCATTTTTTCCCATGTTCATCCATCTTGATGCCGAAATGATCAATTTGAGAATATTTGGGCATCTAAACGACTTCTAGTGAATTTAAAAAATGAAAGGAAAAAAGGAAAAATATGAAAACTAAAAAAGTATAATAGCTGAAAATGTGGAGAAACACTAGAGAAAGAGTATGCAGTTTGTATATGCAATTTGTATATGCAGCAAGCACTTCAGTTTCCAACAGTTTTCTAGCACCTCCCTAGTGAGAGATAACTGGAGTGTGTAGTTTCTCCACTCAATTTGTATGTCCTCCGCTCATAGTCTGTCCAAATTTTTGGACTTGCATAGGAGAATCAACAAACCCCAATTGTCCGTTGTTCGCATCTGATGGCTAGGAAGTGCTGGCAAATGGTACGAAAATTAAGTACAACCATAGAATACTTCCCCTCGAATAAGAAAGGGGGAATAAAACAATATTGTTAAGGGCACAGCTATCAGAGTATAAAATTCCAACTAAAATAAACAAGAGGTAAAAGGATTAGACTCAAGAAGTTGTTGATCTAAAGTCTGAAAATGTTGCATCAGGGTAAAGAGAGAGAGAGAGAGCATGTCAATGAAGATATCGAGTAACACAAAGACTATCAACTGATCACAATAATAATAATAATAATGACAATGATAATGATAATAATAATAATAATAGTAGCTACCACTACTATTACTACTAGTACTACTAAAGAGATAATGACTATTGACTAATAAAAGTAATGAGAATACCCAATGTCCGGCATCCTCGAGCACATGCATTTCAACCCCACCGCCCTCGTCTATAGCCAGCTCCTCGGCTGCATGTATTCTCTGAATGTCCTTGAGTGCCCATCTATGCAAACTTCTCTCAGCTTTCAAGAAGTTCACATGAACTCCTCGTGGAACATCTTCTACTACTTTCCTATTTCAGAATTCACAAACGTTTCACTCTCTTTCTCACTGTTGTATTGATAAAAAAATGAAAAATAAAAGTCAAGGTGCAAATCTCTCTCTCTCTCTCTCTCTTTCATGCGCGCACACACACACATGCACCTTTAAACATGCATAAATTAGTATACAAGACACCCCATCTCTCTCTCTCTCACACACACACACACACACCTTTAAACATGCAAAAAATAGCATGCAAGACACCCCATCTCTCTCTCTCTCTCTTTCTCTCTCTCTATGAGTGTGTGAATAATATAAAGATCCATGTTTTTGATGTTTTTGATGGTGAATTATGAAAGAGGTGCATATGAATACGAGATTGACAGTAAATACCATAGGTTTGTTTCTTCATAAGACTTGTACATTTCTGTGAGGCCATTGAGGTCAAAGACCCAAGAAAAGCTTGCTGGTATTGAATCAGGAGGTCCAGCAGGTTTGAGATTGGTAACCACCCACTGTAAGGAGTATAGACCACAGAAATATACACATCGTGAAGCAAATTGATAAACAATTTGGAAATTTCAAATCAACCATAAAGTTAAAGTAAATACAGCATTACCCAGTTAAATAGTAGACAACTTTTTTGACATTCAATATTTAAATTTCTGAGCCATAGTACCTGCGCCACATCCTTAGAGAAGCCTTCTTGAACTAGAGCTTCAACAACAACCCGCTTTGATGATACCTAGAAAAAGAATGTAACTAAATAAGGCAAAGAAACTGCATTGAAATAAAAATAAGTTTGTTTTTTAGAAGGAAAATAAAAACAACTTAAGCTATGCACTTGAAGCAATGGAACAAGGTTAGCTACAGTAGCCTCTCCCTTCCCCCTCTCCCCCCCCTCCTCTCTCACTCTATCTCACACACACACACACGATACGAATGCCTGCCACTGCCCCTCATGCAGGAGAACAGACCATGCAAGAATACGTAGATAAGGGGGTTTTGAGGTCAGCAACCCATTCCAGATGAGGTGATGCAAGGTTCTACATTTTCAAAATAAGGGGCAATTGGATCTTCAATGAGTGATTATTAAAAAATACCATTTGGTGGAATCTTTAACAGTACAAATTATATAGCGTCAAAGGTGTTCAATACGAATGTTATACACAATTGTTCAGCATCTGTTGTTTCACTCATGAGTTGTTCTCATCGAACAATTTTATTCCCATGTCCCATATTATAAATCACGTCAAGAACAACTAATCAATTTTTTTATTTAATATGGTGCAAAATATTACTAAAATCTGCAAATAAGATATGGGCATTTGTCAAAACCCTATGTAAAGTTTTACCCATATGTTTTGAAGTAATTTCAAAATGCCCATAAAAAAACACTTGATTTTTGACTTGGAATGGTAGAAATAGGTAAAATGTTAAATAGTTGAAATGTTAGGTGCATTTTGATCAATTTCCCAATAAGATAAGATCAAGGGGACAAAGCAATACTTCAAATATAATAACATCCAGAAAGCTGTCTCCAATTATGAAATTCTCTTAAGTCCTAGGTTTGACCAAACAAATTATCAGACTGGTGATGATCCCTATGTACATAGAACAGAAACAGTACCAGAACCAAACAGGTGCAATAGCTTCAAAACACTTATCATCCCAAAGATAAATTTAGAAAATATTTATATTATAAGTGACTTAATACCCAAGAAATACAACAAAGATCTGTATTTTTTTTCTGCCAATCAAATGAAGGCATCAGGCATGTATATCATCCTTCCATCACAGGGTACATGTACCAACAATCTTAACTTTCGAAAGCAAATGTAAGGTTTAATATTGAGTAGGACTGGCAAAAGAAAATAATGTAGAATATGGTGCTAAGAGCATGCATATTTAATGAGTCAGAGGACGTGGTCCTGCAACTTATCTACCCAGAATGAAAGGAATCCAAATTATATGAACACAATTTTGGTGTCCCCTTGTCAATGAAGAAATAATCAACACACCTGTTTTGGCATTTTACTTAAGGCAGCAATCAGTTCAGCAGGATGATCCTCCCCATCTCCACCAGCACGAACTTTACCTGGAGTGGCATCCAATACCCAAACCTTCAAAAGAAAATAAGATAATTAACATCATGATCATCTAAATTAGCAAATGATTCTTGAAAAACACATAATAGAGATAAAACAGCTATTTGTGGAGGGAAAAATAGCAAATACAACAGGGAATTTCTACAATTAAGCATATCAGGAATTTGAGTTTGACTGAATAGGGACAAATATTATAGATACAAGGCGGAGGAGAGAGGAAGAATAGATCCCTGTGGAACCTTTTGGAAGGTTACATCTGTCCAAGCTCCCCAACCATAACTACCTTACTGGAGCTACTAAACTGGTGTTATGTATCCCAAATCACTCCCAATGGCCACAAAAGTACAAGGATGGCTGAGTTATCAATCTTATATATATATATATATATATATAGAGAGAGAGAGAGAGAGAGAGAGAAATAGATAGATAGATAGAGAGAGAGAAAGAGAGAGAGGACACCATAGACAAGCACACAGTTATTCCTTAAGTACATATACAAATAGGACTAACATAGTAACAAGAATATGTGAAGCTCGAGCTCGACACCATTAAACAATTGGAAAACCTACTACAACAGCAATATAATTCAGTGCATATCTTTATGATTGTCTCTAAATAGCATAGTGTAAACAGAGAAACAGTTCTCCATCAGATCTTGTACTCTTACTCTAACGGGACGAGGAAGAGGCTTAGCAGCTTGATCCACCATACTCAAGGCAACTGCACAGATCATTAAGGAAAAGCATTGCATATGAGATTTACAATTGTTCACAGGTACTGCTTGAGAATTCAGGCGAAGTTAACTGATAACCTACTTTAAGTATCAATAAGAATCAAGTTGTATTGATGTCTATTGATTTCCAGAAAATTTAGTAGAGAACACAATTTGTGGGAAACCAATATGCTATTAAGACATACCTTTGCCTCCAAAGCTGTGACCGACTAATACTCGAGGAGTTAATCTAAGCTGTGCTACCTGTACCATTCAAAGTTCAGTCACAATAGCTCTTAATCTTAGATAAGCTAACTTATAGTGAGATGAGGAAATATGGGTCATTATTGAACACATTTTCAAACTAACCCAATATTTAATCTTAGATTCTTAACAAAATTGAGATCCCAAATTTTCAAAAAAAAAAATAAATAAATAAAAAAGATAAAGCAAAGGAAAATCCTAAATATCCTCCAGAGCCTATTACAGCAATATAAATTTCTTGAAAGTCTTGCAAAGCTCCTCCATATTTCATATTACAAAAATAACTTTTTCACTTTGATCTTGATACATATAGATCTTCAAGCTTGCATGATAAATTAGAAAGCAATACTTTCATGTTTATAAAGGCCCCAAATAGTTGGGATACAGCTTGGATAATGATGACTTTCATGTTAATAAAGGGCACTAATTGTAAACTATGTGTGTCCGACTCGGACGCAACGTTACTTGGCAGCTGTCCAGTTAGGAACAGAATCATTGGGAACCGGTGCCAGCTAAGTCTCACTGTTCCCAAGGTTGTATTGTGAATTCTTAAGAGTTAGCTGAGTCTCTGACAGAATTGGTAGAGTCAACTTGCTTTACTCAGGCTCAGGACCCTAGGAAGTCTCAACCCGAGTCCTTGGCTTAAAATACTGGTTGAGAGATTTCTCATGAATTGTGTGAAATGATTTATGGGAGTTGAGGTCTTGCTTGTTTCTTTCAGCATTCACTCAGTAAGAAAGGGAATTCCATGGTACAACAACTAACCAGCTTTAAAACGTCCAGTGCTGCTGAGGCAACTGTATGAGGAGCATTTTTGTAGATTGAAGCTGAGTCACCATGGCAGCGCAAATCGACCAAGAGGAACTGCACGAAATAAAATTAGAGCCTATATATTTCATTAATTTCAAGCAAAGATTTACATAAGAGCTAATCCGGACAGCCCATGTTTTGCATAAAGCATTAGGCGAGAATGTTGAACAACTTCACTTCGGCAATTGAAAAGCATATCTACATATACTTCCACGTAAAGTGTGATTCTTTGGAAAAACAATCACTGTAAGAGCTAATATTGAAAAATAGAAACAACCTGTCAATTAGGTCTTCCAGCTTAAGAGAACATACCTGCCACGTGGGAAATTCTTGTGCCAGTCTTCTTGCAAATGATCCTGAAGCATAAATTGCATTCACAAGTTGGAATCTTAATAAAATTAGAAAAGAAATTTAAATTTTTTGAACAAAGAAGAATAAGTTCATTCCCTGAACTACTTGCAGTACTTCACAGTAACTCCACTATACTGCCAAAATGGATACAACGGCAGATGTTTGACAATCAAAACAAAAATTCGATCAGTTGCCAAACCACACACTTAACCGCTGAATCATGTTCTTTTGAGTGCCAGAAAAAAAAAGAATATAAAGAAAAAGGAGCAGCATATTTAAAGACTCATGAACATATGACACATTTGATCCATTGTTCAAGGTTTAATATATCAAATTGCACTAATTTGTCAGTAGTTGGATAAAGACATACTTGAGACAGTAGCAATAATGATCCACATTAAGCAGTGTTGGGGTTCTAGACATAAGAGATGCTATTATGAAATTAAAAATTGTGTGAATTTCTAGACCACAGAAATGAAATATAAACTGCTTCAGTGAGAGTCATACCCCAGTTCTTCCTGGCACCAAGAATACCATGCAAAAGAACAGCAGTTGGTGGATCTGGTATTGCCCTGTCCATAACGGTGCTCCATCTAAACTGCATATCCAAAGTTGCATATTTGAATACAAAAGTCGTATATTCATACATGACCTCATGTGTCGAAACTCTAGTTCAGGTTATTATCTTGGGCTATGTTTAACATTAAATTAATGAAATATATGAAATAGAAGTAAGCAAATCTATGATTCTATATGCCTACTAGAAATTCGTAAGTTGTCTTTGAGCCAAAGGAACAAATACCTGCAATTACTAAGGTGGAGGGCAATGTCTAAGATTATGGCTTGCAAACGCGTTTGTTTCCTTTTTATATGAATTCCACACAAGCATACATGGCCATGTAGCCTCGTGATTTATAGAATTTCTTACCTGGTAGTCAAGATTCTCCACACATACACTCTTTAGCCAAGCATTCCAGGTGGTTTTCTCCTACTGGTTAATTATTAACAGCTGCTACTTGTCCGAATAGCAGTTTGTAGGGAAGGATAATAGAAATTAATTGGTTTGTTGCATCTTGTTAGAGGACAAGAAGCACCCCATGGCTTGCCTCGCATGTTATACAGATGTCTGCTAAGAGGCAAGGAACACAAGTGAATCCCTCACCGTGAGTCATATATTATACCAACTCCAATACCAGACAAATGTAATCCATGCAAATGGGTGATTGTGAGCTTAGAAGGTAGAAGTTTGTGTTTTGTTTCAAACTCTTCGTAGTACACATACAAAGTACATGCAGTTTCCACCACTGAGATGCCAGACATTGTGCATCATAACTTTAGATGTTAGAACTGGATCTAGGTGTTGATTAGGAACAGAAAGCATTAACTTTGATTCACAGTGAAAGGTATGTATGGTCGTAGAGTGCACTAATCGCTTACTTTGGATCATAAGAAGTTAGTGTCGAAAAAATAGTCCGACAGTAAGTAACCAAATAATTTTCTTTTTTTTTCTGTCATGTTTGGAAGAGTTTTGAGTGGGTACCCAGCAGTTGTATTGATGCGTAAAAGATGTACAAAGGAAATACAGAAGAGTGAAATGTAAAGTGCATGAAATTAATACCTTTGGTCTACTACAGGCCCATATTTGAATCATGCCACACAACCCACATTAACTTTTTCCAGGACAGTTGTTCTTATAAATATTTTTTGCAAGTTAAGAAGCCATATTTTATTTGGAGATGTCCTTTTTGTAGTTGGATTATTTTAGCTATTATGATAATTACAAGTCAGCTCCGTAATTCTTCAAATTTACTATAATATTTTAATAGCATTATTCTTAAATTTAAATGGATGTTACTTATCCAAGAAAATTGAGTGGCGATTACTAAATGTCATCAAGTGACTTTCAATGACTAAGTTTGTTTTTAGAAATTTTAAGAACACAATTTTTTTTTTGGTGGTGTGGGGGGGGGGGGGGGGGGGGGACCTGGTGGTTCTTGTTATGTCACCCTAAAATTAGGGGGCAACGCAGGTCTTATGTGATGGCCGCCCATAGTGTAGAGTGAACTATTAGTAAACGAGTGGAGTGGCCTAATCTGCTCCCAAATTTGAGCATCTGAAAAGAAAAGGTATTGTTTGCCAAAACAAATCATTGGGAATATATTAAGAAGGTATTGTTTTCCTAAACAAATCTTTGAGAATATATTAAGTTGCAATTTGAAAGAAAGGTCCGCGAAGGTTCTCTTTTTTATTATAATTTCACGTGTATGAATGATTGGGAAAGGGACACACATTTTTCTTCCAAAAGGCTTGCACATGAGGTCCATAGCCAAAATGCCCGGAAGAAGTTCATTACTGGATTCACCACAAACCTTTCCACATACTAGCATAATGTTGATTTTTTACCTATGGCCTCTAAGATATATTAGTTTCTTCTCCCTAGGTATATCCACTAAAGCTTGAAGTAGTGTGTACATAACATGAAAAAAAGAACATTATTTTAGTCATGAGGATCATCATGTCATTGGACGCTCCAAAAATGTATTAGGGGGATTATGCTTAAGACATTATGACTCCATATCAGAGAAATAACCAGTGGACTAACACAAACGGGGCCAAATTTTCCCTTAAGTTCATATCATGGAAACAATAAGGTTTATTTTTACATATATACTGGGTACATGCAGAGTCCAAGAACTTACAATTCCTGTTACATCAACCTGCTATGCAAGGTCGAACACCCTTGATTCAGGCCTTGAAGCTTATATATTCACAGTTCTAAAAGGACACATACATAGACAAGTGGAAAACACATCAATACCAAGGGCGTAGGGTGCCCGTATACCTGACTATGTGCAAGGGTATTGTCCATAGGTCTGCTCCTTCTTGAGCTGAGGCTTCAAGTGAGGTGGGATCAACAACCTTCCTCTCTCTTAATGATTTCTGCACCACAGATCAGAAGATGGCAATATCGAGGGCCTATTTCTTGACCGATGGTCCAATGAGTAATCACTTTTCTTATCTCTCTATCTCTTTATCACACACAAAATAGAAATGAGGCATGTATCAATTTCGCTCTCCTCCCCTCTCACTGAGAAGTGGGTTTAAATAGACTTCCTAAAATGATAAGGATGAAAGTCTGTGAAGCATATCTAAATCATTGACCATATTCATCTATCTCTCATGATTCGGTTTAAAAATATAAGCTTGTATATTTGTTCGAATTTCAAAACGCTTCCGGATGGTTTTAATGATAACTCTGTCGTTGCTTGATCTTGATCTTGTCTTGATGTTCGAATTTGAATACGCAACTGCCAAGATTTATCACGATATTGATGAGAAAATCGAGGTAATCAGTTATTTCTTATCCATTGTCAATCGATTTGCAGAACGATATGTTGACATGTCTGAGTGTTTCCTCTGCTACTTTCTAATGACGAATTCGTTCTTCTTGAATTTTGGGAGATGATAGAGGACTCAAAGATGAACACAATGGTTCAAACCTCACTTCAAATGGATCACAAACAAGAGAGATATGGCTTGTCATAGTGAACTCATTTATGCTGCAAATTACAACAGCAAATCTAAGGATTCCGTGTACAACTGCTTCCAACACAGGGGATTATAGACCTTGGGGATATAATAATCTTATGGAGGGGACTATGACACATATCTCCAAAAACATCGGGTTCAAGATTCTCCATATCATGGGAGAAATCATTAGGAGGCGGTCAAACTCTTTTATAGTTTTTTATGACTCACATTCTCCTAAGAGATTGATGTGATGCTGCACTTTTATGGATAATAGGGCATTGGATTAGGAATCTAATGGTCCAGGTCTCAAGAGAAAATTCTTTATAGATTGAGAGAAATCTCAATATTAGTGACTCGAGGTACCGTGGCTTTCTGCCTGGCAGTCGACGCATAAGAATTTGGCTACCGACGAATGCGGATGATGAGTTAGGCCAACTCCGAATGACCTGAAACATTAGGATGAGGGATATAATTCCTCAAATATCATTTCTCAAGAGTTTCGGATCAATCCCCAAACTATCAAGTTCAGGGTTGTTGGTCAAGGCATATCTTGACCATTGATGAATCAGGCCAGTGGGCCGAATGATGTCCAATTTGTATGATTTTTGCAATGGATATATTTGCAAGGACATACCTCAATGTGATATCATATGGTGAGGTTTCCTTATGCTCCATCTGACAAATACTCCTTTAGTAGCCCACAGATTCAAAAGCTGAATCGTACCGCATCGAACCGTTTAATATCATGTGGAAAGGCGTATCATGGTCTGGGGAGTATATGTCCCAAAGTCTGTTCGAATTAAGATGAATTGATGGTCTTTTATAATCGGCCATTAGTCAAGATACACATATTTGTCCGACAACGGATTTGAAAGTGCATCGTACCGTATCCAAACTCCTAAGGCATCCTCTGCTTAAAATCCCATAAAAATCACAAAATTTGCTTAAATATAGTCTGTAATGATTTCTATTACTTATTTTAGCTTTTGCTATTTTTTATTCTTTTACATTTTCTTTTGGATTTTTTAGCCTATTTTGGTGTTGTGCAGGAGTGGACTCAGCCCTATAACTCAGATAAAGCCAGGGCCAAGTCCAAGGTCTGAGCAGAGTCTCAGAACATTGATTTAAAATCATTGGGGTCATCAGATCTCAAAATTCCTAAATTTGTTTATAGTTTACCTATTTCTATAGATGTATGTTACAACTGCATTTTGAAACCCAAACAACTTCACCCCTCAATTGATTGTAACAAATAAACCAGTTACTCCAAGTGACTTCACAAGCATGTGCTACAAGCAAAGCTACATTGTCAATAAGGGAATAGAAAAATAATGCAGAATTGATTATTACATATTCATTATTACATACCCAATCCACGATGATGGAAGATAAAATACAGGATGCATGGTTTTTCAATCCATGAACAAAAAAGTTTGTTAAAAAGAAAACACTTAATTAATCAGGCAAGCTTTGGAAAGGGCAAGGGAAAGGATATATAAACATGAACTTACTAGAGCTCCTTGAACCAAATCGTAGGCCTGCGTGAAATTACAGAATAGTTTAGGAAACGGTAAGTACTCAGTCGAACTCAAAAGTAAAGAATAAGAGCCACATACATAAAAAAGGGAAAAAGATAAAAAGGCAGTGCAGAGACTGAGAGGTAAGCGATTAGGTCAAGTAATAAGATAAGTGAACAAAAGTCAAAAGATAATAAGTACCAAGACACCGGCATGTTTCTTGACATTTTGACCTAGTGGAGGTCTCTCGTCCACCATAGTCATGCAAACTGGGGAACTCTTCCTTGAAACACCATGAAAAGTTCTAGTTGAACGACTTAAAACTAATTGTTTTCCATTGAATGATGTATCCTAAATGCAAAAGATAAGTTTGTTACATCAAATATACATGTTTTACAAACACAAGCAACTGCACAAGTACACCGATCAGCGCCATTCTCTTTTCATAGTTATACATCTAATATGCAAACAATTCTTTCCAGATAATTCTTTGTGCAAGAACAGAGATGTACCATCAAAAATAAAACTTTGCAAACTAATAAAGTTGTTAACCCCCTTGTCAAGAACATCTGATCTCTGCTGGTGTATCCCAGAAAGGAACTAAAATCTTTTACACAAAGAAGAACAAGAAGGGAAAGAAGAAGAAGACCACTCAAAAGAAAGATGTGCATTAAGAAAAGGCTGCAGCAGGAGCCAAAGGAATTCAATCAGGTCATATTGTTACCATCACCATGAAAGCTACCGCATCTATAAAGCCCAAGTTATGCCAAGCTCAATTCCCAAACTACAAAATTTATCTACACAAGCTCTGAAAGGTTTCATCTTACACAGGCATAAAAATCTTCTACCCCAGTTGGCGAACAGCAGCTTCACCAGGTGTCAATTTAACAGCCTTCAAAGCTAATGGCCAGTCGAGAATTTTGAAGAAAGATAAAGAAGCAGAGCCAATGAATAAATAAATAGAACACAAACTTGGTGGGTAAATTAAAGCAACACAAAGAAGTTCATATATAGAACAATGTTCATTCTCTTGTGGAGATTAGAATTGATATTTTGAAATTTATGATATGTCCCAATAGCGAAGAAAACCCAATCGCAGTCGTTTGGTCTGTTTTTTCTATCAATAAAATAAGGCGAGAGAAGGAGGATTAGAAATATTAATGAAACAAATCACTCCAACTCTTAGGAAAGGAACCATGAAATTTATACCAAACTGAAAGGAAAATTCTATATGCGGCGATTTTTTTTTTTTTTTGAATTGTTTTAAGACAATTACACATGTAACGGCAGAAAAAGAACAAATGAAAACAACAAAGGGAAAAGGAAAATATACAATAGAAATTCAAACACAAGGAGAAGATAAAACAGATCTTGCAAATGGCCCCCTGTTGAAATAACCAGTCATACAAATAAATAAATAGAAGAACAAAAAAAAATACAACCCATTTTTTTTAAAAAAAGGAATTGAACTCATGGCAAAGATTTCATACTTTGTATGCCATAGAAAAGCATTAAAACATAATAGAAATAAGGTGGAAATAAAGTATCCATCTGGTTATACATTGTAGATGAACTAATCCACCATGTACCTTATAAAAATGCAACAAAACCAGCTCATCCTATCCATTAACAGCAAAAACAAATCAATCGACCCTAATTTCAACTTAATTTAATATTTTCTCAAAAGATCCATCATTTGTACACGCACAAGACCAATAAACCAGTACTCTGTCCTCAAAATTATCCAGAGAAAAGCTTATTTTCTCCACTAATGGCCACGAAGACACCAAAAAGCCTTAACTTGAACTAAAAATCATCGAAAAATTAATCTAATATTCAAACCACGCAATAAAAAAAATAAAAAATAAAAAGAGGAAAAACAAACTGATAAATCCATCAGTTCCATACCTTACAAAGCCTGAAACACACTCTAGATCCTCTGCATTCACAAGAATCAAACCATAATTTCTCTGCAACAAATCCAGCATTCTTTTCACACCCACAAACACTAATATTCAAAGTTCCCGCCATTTCAAACTGATTGCAAATCAACCATAATTCAAATTTGCACTGGACAAGATAAAAAGGGGATTTTTCTGAGAAAATTGCAGGAGAATTCCTGCAAATAAGAGAGATAAAACAATGGAAAATGGAGCATTTATAAATTGAAGGAAAAAGTTCCTTTTTTTGTTTTTTATTTATTTAATTTAATACGTTTTCCCTCTTTTTAGAAGTCATGAAAAGGCGGAGGCGCCAAAGATTTAGGCCTGGTTGTCACCGACCACTTGCCCTTCTTTTCGATTTTAGGCCACTTGTTTTCTCACAATTAAAATACCCTAGAATTTATTTAAGGACACGGTTTATATGAATCCATATAAAAATGAGTCCTCTTAAAAATCTTTTTTTTAGATGGATTTTTGGATGTAATTTTTAACGGCATGTAATCTCGATTTTTGGATGTAATTTTTAACGGCATGTAATCTATAACATGGAGATTATGAACATGAAAAAATAAATAATTTTTAAAAACTAAAAATAAGAATTTTTTTAAAAAAATATTCTATAACATGAAGATTATGAACATAAAAAAATATATAATTTTTAAAAATTAAAAATAAAATTTTTTTAAAAAATATTTGGATAATTAGTTTTAATTGTTTTTAAATGACAACCTATTTACATCCATTTTTAAGATAAATGCTTTATACTTTAGGGCCGCCTATTGTAAAAATGCAATCAAACAATTTTCCTTTGTTTAATAACGATAGAGCCTCTATTTTATTATCTGAAAATCCATTGTCATATCTAGTTATAAAATTATAAGCTTCAAAAATAGTTAAAATCAAGTAGATCTACAAACATATGAAAATCTTGAAAATGGACGGTCTAGATAATGTGTTGTAAGATGCACCTTTTCCAAGATCGTAATCTTTTTTTTTGTCATATTCATACATCTCTATGTTGAGATGATCAACTAGAGGGTTTTTTAACAATAAAACAATATTTTCTGATGGATTTTTTAGGTGCATCGGTATTTCTACATTTTAAAGATTCAACCTTAGATAAACTTTTCTCATTTCTAAAATGGGTTTTTTTTCATGTTTGGTTCAAGGAAAAATTTTCTCATTTCTAAAATGGTTTTTTTTTCATGTTTGGTTCAAGGAAAAATATTCCAAGCAGAGAGAAATTCAAGAATTCAGCTTTATGCTTAGACATGAGGATATGAAACCACTTTCCCATGGCACGTCGTAAATTTGCATGGTAATGTGAAACATAGTTATCAAGATCAGCACAATGGGTTGACTGCTGCTTTGATTGGTTTGGTTTAGATAACAAGAAGGTTGGATCGACAGTCAAAATTAGTGTTTGGATAGTTCTGCCGATTTGTTCAACCAGTTAAATAAAGTTTGATAAATTTTTAATATATATATATATATATATATTAAATTAATTTTTTATTATTTTTTTTCCTATTTTTAAGATACAATTCAAATGACTCTACTTATAGTCAATTGGTTTAATTAGACGAAACTCCTCACTTATTAATTACTAGTCCGATCTTGATAATATTTACTGGCTAATATAATATAATTGATAATACTAGTGTAAACATTTAAAATTCTTTAGATCCACTTTCCCATAAAAACAAACATGACACAGTAGATTGGTAAACAATTCTCTCTCCTTGAGTGAGGGATTCTCTGATAGAAAGATAGAAAGGGAAGGATTTGCTATGTAAAGGAAAAAAATAACCCTATTTGTTTTACCCCAATTAGGTCACCTTGATGACCTTATTTGAGTTTTATCTTAGGAAAAATCGAAGTGGAAGTTTTATCTTAGGAAAAATCGAAGTGGAATGGTTAACCTGACATCAGCCCGGAAGCGGTTCAACCTAACTAGTAAACAGATCAATTAAACCATTTTAACCGTATAAGTCCTAGACAGTAAAAAAAATATGTTAAAAAAATGTAAAAAAAATCTAATAAAATTTGAAGAGTATACTTAAATAATGATTAAACAAATTATATCCAAATGAAGTTGAAAATTAATGAAAAATATGGATTTTAAAGAATTGTTTTGTACCCAGGGCTATTTTTAAAATTTTATAAAAAGATGGAAAAAGTTAAAAATAATAGCCAAAATAATTTCTAATTTTTTCTACAATGATGAAATTTTTTTTAAAAAATAATACATTACAAACAAAATATCTTATTTTTTATGATTTTATATAAGTTTCCAACCATCAAAACTGGCCGAAACCACTGACCACTGGTTGGTTTCAATCTAACTGAGCTGTTATCGATTAGACCGCCTAATTTTTCCTTTACTGGGTCGGTTTCAATCTAACTAAGCGGTTATCAGTTAGACCGCCTAATTTTTCCTTTAGTGGTTTTATAGGTGTTTGGTTGAAAGTAGGAGAAGAATGGGAGGCATTGAAAAAGTGGGTAGGAAAACGAGTCCCTTGCGAATAATATTTGATAGCGAAGAATGAGTTTGTCATATCATAGTAAAGTATACGATACAATCCCAAATTAGTACCACAAATATTATTTGAAGTTGTGCTTAATTTTGTCGAGAGTATACTATTTTATCTAAAATTAATATATTTTGGTGATATTATTTTGTTAGACATTTGACATTTGGTACATAATTTGCATTGTATATAATATTATTTGATTACTTAATTTTTGGTGATCTATATTTTATTATTAGCAATTTCTAAAAACACATGATTTCAAGAAAAGTACTTTAAATAAAATAAAAATAGCTTTAAAAAAAGGGAAAATTTTATATAGAGCCGAGGCTCTAAACAATCAAAGTGGAGCCTACCACAAAAATTTCACTGAAAGAGGTTGTTTTGATGCCCAAATATCTTCATATTGATCATCTCGACATCAAGATGAATGGACATGAGAAAAAAATGGATTTCAAGTTTTGGAAATAGTGTATTTTGTAACGTATTTTTAGACCGTCAA